GGGGGCAAGGGGGAGGGGGGGGGGGGAAGAGGCACGGGAGTCAGGAGCGGCACCAGCCCTGGGGCCCCAGCCTCTACCCCGCGCGCAGCACTCACTAGGGCAGGATCCAGTGGGAAGTGCGCAGGGTCACGCCGGGCACGCTCGTACTGCTCGCGAGTCACGCACACGGGGCTGTTCCCGCGGCAGAAGCTGCCCCAGGGCCGGCACAAGCCCCCGTTCAGTGCCGAGCCCACAAAAAGTGGGCGGCAGCGCTCACAGTGCGGCCCCTGTGGGGAGGGATGTGGGTCAGAGCCTGCAGGCCCCTGAGCCCGGATCCCACCCTCGTCAACCTGCCCTGACCCGCCCCTAACCCAGGATCAAGTCGTGACCCCCAGGCTCCCCACTGCCCCACCCCAGCCCGAGCTGTGACCCCTGACCCCATCCTGCCCCAAGCTTGAGCCATGACCCCTCAGCCCCCAATCACCCCAACCCTACCCTCCCAGCCTGATGTGACCCAGGCCCAAGCCACCCCGCCGTGACCTCTGACCCTGTGCAACCCGCAGCGCGGTGTGGGCACCATGGTGTTGTTGTGGCACTGCAAGCAGTGGTCGGGCCGGCCCTCGCCCAGGCAGTCGCTGTGGCGGTTGCAGCGGCACTCAGCCGAGCAGTTGCGGCCCACATGACCGAAGTGGCAGCGGCAGCGGTTGGGCTCCACACACGTCCCGTTCACACAGCCCTGCTCGCACACCGGACGGCACAGCCCCGTGGCCCTGTGGTGGGGAGGGCATGGGGGTTGGCGCCCGCAGGGCAGAAGGGAGGGGCGCATGCGAGGCACTCATGGGTGCAGCATGTAGTACAGCCCCGGGGGTCGGCGCCTGTGGGGCACAAGGGAGGGGCGTGAGGGGAGTGTGCAAGGCGCTCACAGGTGCTGCGTGTAGCACAGTCCCATGGCCCTGTGGGGTGGGGGGCACAGGGGTCAGTGGTGTGTGAGGAAGGGGTGTGCGAGGGGCATGCGAGTCACTCACACATGCAGTGTGTAGCACAGCCCCATGGCCCTGAAGGGCGGGGCACGAGGGGTCAGCGCCCATGGGGCATGAGGGAGGGGTGTGCAAGGCACTCACGTGTGCAGCGTATAGCCACTCTTGCAGGCACAGGCATATCCGCGTGCCAGGTCGCGGCAGTCCTGAGTCTCGTTGCAGTCGTGGTGACCGTTGGCACACTCGTCCTCGGGGGGGCATGACAGGAAGGCCCAGTCCGCGTCACCCCCACACGCCTGCGCCAGCCCTGGGGGGGGAGCCTGGGGCATTATGGGTAGCCCTCCCAGGGCACTGTAGGAATTTCCCGGTTGGCTGTGGGTAAAAGGGACCCCCACCACCACCTCCCACCGGGCATGGTGGGCAGCACCCTTGTGCCTCCTAGGGCACTGTGGGTAAGCCCTTTGCCCTGCCCACCCCCCATGCCCTCTGGATAATCACGCCCAACTCATTACCCACCCCAGTACACTGGAGGTAACCTACCTCCCATTACCCAAGCCCAGTCCACTGTGGGTACCTCACCATTACTCAACCCAGTGCATTGTGGGCAAGCTACCCCATTACACAAAACCAAAACATTATGGAAAATCCCCCATGACTCAACCTAGTGCACTGTGGGGGACCCCTCATGCCCAGCCAAGTGCATTGTGGGTAACACCCACATGCTGTGGGTCACCTCCACATTCATCAAACCCAGTGCATTGTGAGTGACGCCCACAGCCCCCAGGCGTACCGTGGCGGGGCCCGTGGAGGCCACCCTCGAGGCAGCGGCCGCCCCCGTTGTGCCCACGTCGGGCGCACCAGCCACAGCGGGGGTGCCCGCCGCCCACGGCGCCCCGGAGGGTGGGGCACAGCTCTCAGACCCCCGCAGCACTCGCCCACACAGCCCAGCCGCACAGCGCATCGGCACGTAGCTGGGGCTCATGCACTGTGGGGAGGAAGGGGGGCTTTAGCCTGGCACTGAGCCCTCCCCCCAGCTCTCCTGGTGCCTCTCACTCCCAACCTGTAGCCCAAAGCCTCAGATGCCCCTCACTCCCAACCAGCAGCCCCCTCCCCTCCCCCCGGTGCCCCTCACTCCTAACCTGCAGCTTCCACCCTACCAATGCCCCTCATTCCTGACCCGCAGCTCTCCTGGTGCCCCTCGTTCCCAACCTGCAGCTCCACCCCCC